ACACTGCAACACTAAAAATTATTTCAAATCGTGTATGAGAGCATTTTCCTGAAAGCAGTATTTGTTCCTCCCATTGGTAATTCCACAAATCGGTTCTCAAGTTAAAATGAAGCTCTTCAAAATTGCATGCACATTACACTTAATTACGAAAACAATACTTGAATACCTTAATAAAATCAAATAATCAACTTCTAATATTTTAACTTTGCATAAATTACAATACGAGGTTGAAAAGAAAAGAATGAATGTATGTAAATTTGGGAGACTAGAGAGAAAGAAGAATAAGAGGGTAATTCTAGTAGGAAGTATATAATAATTCAATGGTATGTTTATGTAGTCTAAAACACCACCTATTTGTAGACTCACGGGTGACTTTTTGAAAAATGGTGAAATCATTTTAAATGATGTCTTTTGATCTGGAATGTATCATCAGTACTTTATGAAAAGGTATAATCATTTGAAATAGTCTCTTAACCAAAATGTGTAAATGATGACCGTCTAAAAAATTGTAATTATTTAAAATGATGTCTTTTAGCCAGAAATCACTAACTTCGAGTTGGTAGCATTTGTTGTCATTCTTATTTCACACTTTTTCAATTTTCTCCCAAAACTCACAAATATTTTAATAGAGACTACTACTGGTATAAACTATGTGTCAAACATAATTGCTTATTATGATACATTCATATGAAGAAATTATATTATCATTTTAATTTCATCTTATAATCAATTACAATTTAAATTCTATTCTATCACGTCGTGAACAATTTCACTAACAATTCATCAAATAATTTGACAAGTATAATTCAATTTATGTCTAATTTCGCTAATTAATCCTATGATTTCATCTCAATTTCAAAATCTAATCTAACAATCTGATAAAAAAATGAAAAAACTAATAGCCAAGAGAAGGCACAAATAAGGTAGTCTAAACGTGAGGGGGGCAAGTGTCCATCCTAATCCCCACGTGGCTCCGCCCATGATGCCTTTGCTATTAGATCACAATTCTTAAGATATGGGACTAATAAATCGTACAAAAGTCAATTAATACCCTATATATGTAGGGTTTTTTCTTAGAACTTTTTTTTTAGAGGGGCATGGCCTCCATATAGTTCCTCCCATGCTCATGAAAACACTTTTGTTTTAATCTTTAAGGACAGTCTAAAGATAAGGTAATGACTCTACGACCTCGATTCTAGACCTTATAGGAAGATATAAATTAATGCATTCGTCATATGTATATCTATATAAAATTTTTTTCTTTTATTATCAGTTAAAAGAAAACATTATTTTCTAGGGTGTTCTCTCCGCATGTCATTCTTGAAGCCTTGAAAACATTATTTTCGTCGGAAGACTTGTCCAACCAATCATAGTTGATTGAAATGAATGTAGTTCCGTATAAAGCTCTTTGGAGAGCATTTCAAGTCACTTCCTCCTCCTTAAAAACAACATTTTCTACCTTTCGGTCATGATATGGTATTTCTCTTATTTTCGTGTTTACTATTCGATGAGAGAACCTTGTGTTTATTATGTCTCTCTTTTAATCACGTAATTCTCGACTTTTATGAATCAATAATCTTTTCTAACTAGGTTGGCCTCCTTCATTCTTGTGTTAGCTCACACTTCTCACATACTTTCTAACGATGAAGCACTTGATTCTTCTATGCTGCCTAGGTACACAATTTCCTTAAAACTTTCATTTTCTTTAAGTCTACCCATCCAAAGTAGTCCTTGTTCCACTTCTTCTTTCAAGGGCTTTAACCTTCAACCAAAAGAGGTGGATTGCTTTGAAACGAAAAGGAAAAACCATCAAAAAGCTACTTTTTAAGGAAACTCTATCTTCCAACCATATTAATATTTTAAATGTTTTTGGTTGCGAAAATAATGAGTGTGATGACAATTTGTTTTGTTTGTCTGCCAATCTCGGCACCCATCTTATAAACAACTTTAATCCATTATAACTGTGGATTTTTCTGACATTCAACAATTTACGTAAAATCATTAAATAGTTTAAGAGTAATACACTTATGAAAATTTTATAATATACCTTTAGATAGACACTTTGTATATTCTCAAATATTTTTTCAGCTATGCTCCGTTTTGTAGAAATAATGAAAAATAGGAAGGATGAAAAATATGAGGGATATACTTTCTATCTTTCAATGATGGAAAGTAAGAATGATACACTTTCATTCCTTTGTTTTTGCTTAGATGGATGAAAAATAAAAATGATCAATTTTTTATTATAATTTTTTTTCTCTAATATTAGAGGTGACAATCGAGTCGTATCGTGTCAGATTCGTGTTGAGTCTTAAAATTATGAGCCTTTTATATTTCTTGTTCACGTGTCAGGTCATTTTTATGTTTCTGTCGAGTTATAATCATGTTCATGTCATCGTGGTAAGTCGAAAATTTTCACCCCTAGTTAAAATGAAAAAATATATTTTTTAATTTTAATTTTTTATTTTTAATATATATACACATTTTATCATTGTATTTTTACATGAAATTAATGTACACATAATATATAGACAAATAAGATACATCTCAACACAAATAATTAACTTTTCATCCGATTTTGGAGGAATTAATTTTGGTGAGTTGGAAGGAAAGTTAATCCATCTATTTTTCCATTCTTCATATTTTCTTTCTTTACCAAACATGATGTATTATTTATCCCTCCAACTTTCCATCCCTCCAACTTTTCATTTTTCCATCAGACCAAATAACGCACTAATAAATGCATATAAAATTAAATATATAAAATTTACCATGTATGTTGTCCACTAAAAAGAAACTATATGACCATAATAATTAAGAAATTAATGATGAAAAAATAGAAAAAAAAAAGTATTAGTGAAGAGTCTTTATAAGTGGAATCGAGATGACAATGTTTGGATGAATAAGTAATGGCTACACATGAACATTTCATGCTGATGCATAAAATCATCATGAACAATTCAAGCCTAAATTTCCTATACTAAAAGAAATTTCTAATATTGGTATGTTGGAGATTATGAAAACGACAGACTACACCAGTTTTTACTGTCTCCATCGTTTTGTGAAAGGCGAGTACGACACTCTGTCTCTACTTCTTGTTCGTTATTACATCACCCTATATATACGACGTCGCATAGGAGCTGAGGTAATAGGATCATGGCAATTTCGTAGTTACGCGCACAATGAAGTCGGAATCTAAAGTCATCACCTAACCGCAAGACACGGCCCGCCAAAACAGGTTTACACAAATCCCACGCTCATTAATCCACGCGCCTAACATACAACATTGATAATTGCGCTGTTTAGGCTGTATGTGGGACCACAAAAGCTCGGTGGGGTCAGCGCATGTTAGCTGGTCGCCCTTTTTCCTATTTGACCAGGACCTTTTAACAGATTTACAATGATGACTTGAGAGTATTTTCAAGCTGTACACATAAATGGAGGGAGGGGGAGAGAGAGAGAGAGAGACAGAGAGAGAGAGACAGAGAGGTTTTGGTGACTGGTCAGGCTTTTCCTTTTCACTTTGCTTTTGAAAAAGCAGATAGACTTCTCTCCTCTAATTCTTCTTCTTCTTACCTGTGTACAAAGTCCTTTCTCCATATTCTCTCTCTCGCGCTCTCCCTCTCTCTCAAACTGATCGAAGAATATATGAATATGTGCCATATTTATGTGTAGGATTCAGTACATTGTTCTGTGATCTGTAAGTACCTGTACACATTCTTAGCTCCATTCCTGTGTTTTATCTATCTGAGCCTTTTCCATTCCGCTTCCAATTTATGAAGGTTTAGTTTAATTTTGTTTTAGTTTTTTTTTAATTTTTTTATTTTCATTGATTCTGCTTTAACTATGAGCAATATGCAATTTTGCCTTGATTCAGTTTGATTGCTGTTCTTGAGCTTCATAGTTGTATTGTGCTTATATATGTATATATTACATTTGGTGCGTATCGAGTTGTTTGGAGAAGTTGGGAAATGTGGATAAAAGTATGGGAATGCAGTTGTGAGAACTGAAATTAGAGACTCCATTTGCCAATTTGGAGCAAATTTGGGAGTAATAATTGGCGATTAGTGTCCGTTTTATTCCAAGGACCATACATTTTTTTTCTTAATTTTTCTAGGGGCTGGAAAAAGGTTCATTTTTCTTATCGCTACATCTTTGTTAATTATATTTATTGTTGGTTTTAATATTTTTTTTTTCAAAAAAAAATTGTATTCAGTTTGTTTTTTTTTTAAATTTTGTATCTTTTAGGTTACCATGGTTCGCAATCAGAAAGAGTTTGTAGCACAGTATTTTGTGATCTTCCTGTACTATAGATATCCTAGCAAGGGGCTAAAACTCCATAATTTAGTCGAAAACAGCTTTAGCTGTAATTGAAAATGCTTGTTAAGGATAATTTAAGATGGCATTTATATAGTTGTCTTTTGTCATCAGCTATCTTACAACTTTAGGTAGACTCATCATATGCCTTCTTTATATACTTCTGTACTATATTGCTAGTGATCTCCTTCTTGTTAGGGTAGTGGGGTTTTTCCTTCAAAACTCTCAAAATTGACATTTTGCAGTAACAGAAAATGTATGCAAAATTAACATTAGTTACCCAGCTTAACAGTTTCCTTTTTTCTGTCTTCCAACTAGTAGCTTCAAACATTGAATGTCCATAAACGATTTGCTTGGGTGCAAGTACCATCTGTCTAGACATGGTTAGCTTAGAAACAAGAAGTTTCCTGGTGACATTGAGTGCATGCTTATATTAGGATTGGTGGCTTAAAAATAAAAAGTTTGCTGATGAAGTTTGTGATGATCAGTGCATGATTTGACTTTCTTTCTGATTGTTATTATCAGAATCTGAATTAGGTTCTGGTTGTAAGTGGGGTGAGAAACATTAACCCTTTTGTTGAAATTGTTTACTTTTTGAGACCCATTATGGTGTTCATTGATTCTCGAATTGTGTAAATCACTTTCTTGTATAACTTTCATGAACAGAACGCAGGACTGGACAAATGACGAAGGTAAGTCCCGAACTTGAAGATGAAATACAGATGCAGGCTGTTCTATCAGTGTCAGCCGATGTGAGCTTTGCTTCTAGTCGATTTCCAAAATACAAAATAGGAGCCGATAGTCAGATTTTGGATGAGGCAAGGGAGGACCCCAAGGGCCCATCCCTGAAGGATGTTGTTGCGGAGGAAACTCTGCAGCTGTCAGAGCAGCACAAACGTCTCTCTGTCCGTCACCTGGCCAGTAAATTTGACAAGAATTTGGCTGCGGCAGCTAAGTTATCCGATGAGGTTTCTCTTTCTCGGTTATACATTCCAAAGTTCTTTGTTCTTCCAGACTCTTAATCATCAACCAATAAGTACTTTTATTCTTCTGCAAGAATATAGAGAGACATGATTTCATATTCTATACTATTTTTATTTTATTGATCTTTTTCTATTCAGTTTGCTTTTCTATTTTTATTTGGAAAAAATATCATTATCTAGTGACAATAGATGATTAAATGATCAATAAATAATTGTTCCTCGACATTCAGGCTAAGCTTAGAGAGGTGGCTTCTTTAGAGGGACATGTTCTTTTGAAGAAGCTTAGGGATGCACTGGAATCTTTGAGAGGACGACTGGCAGGTCTAAATAAGGAAGATGTGGAAAAAGCTATTTCTATGGTTAGTCTTTTGGACTTATTTTCGTTGTTGTAGGTAATTCAAATGTTTATCTCATTGGATATGTTCGATGGCATATTGGCATACCATGTTGATTACATTCCTGAGTATGTCCACAACTACATGCTTTTTGAAGTTTATCTTTTCATCTTTGTTGACTTATGTCAGTCACAAAATTCATTAACACATACTGAAGTATGGGGTAGATGAGCGACAAATATATAACAAGTTGTATTTCCCTCATCTGCCGCCCCAGTCATCTTGGTGTATGAACTTTCTCTCAATTGCATATCACATTTGAAGTCCATATTGCTTGTACTCTAATATTATCTCGAAACATCTTTAGACTGGAAACATGCCACAAGTTATATCAATGAGCATATTTCCATGCTAGTGAATGAACGAATTTAAATACGTGATACAAATATTTTAAGTGAAGCCCATGTTACATGTATTCTAGTAGGTCTTGATTCTAGAAACATCAGTTTACTGAAATGATGCCATTAGTCATTGCAATAGTCAGTAAACACACTCCTCGGAGTGGGCAGCAAAAGTTGTGGTTTGTCTTGTGTGTCAGTAGAAGTTGAAAAAACCTGCTTGCTGCTCATGACGAAATAATGAATGGATTATTTTTTTTAATTACATTATACTTGTTAGTGTCGGATGGCTTCCTCTTAGATACCACAGTTATAGTTTGTTTACCCATGTTAGTCTACCAGATGAATTCGGTCATTGGGCAGGAGTATCCAGGTCTCTTAATTGTGTGAAGTCCTGATCTCAGGTCACTGACACATTGCAGAACTGTAAAGCTAGTGGCATATTTATGTTCAAGAAAACAAGATATTTTGGCAATCATCCTTCCTGGTTCTTAACCGTCAAATATCCTAGTCTCAGTTCACTGTGACATGAGAGGAATTCGGAGGATCAAAGTTTCTCCAGTTTTCCCCTAACAAAGGATGTTTGTCAAAGTAACCTATGCCAGTTGTTTTTAAGTTCCCTATGTAAGGTTTGAAGTTTACAACAGTTCTAACACAAGAACCTGCTAACAAGGACTATGTTATCACCTTCTTTATTGGACTTGCTCTAGAGGTACATGTCTTAAAACAATGCTCGAAACATTTCCTTACGTGCTTTTTGGTCATAAGGTGTTTAAATTGGTGTTTTATTATCTTCTCCTAAATTTCAAGAGCCATAAACATATCTGGTTACGCTGCAGTCCATGTGATCTTCTATATTTAATTGGTAATACAATTGTCATAAGGTTTGATATTTAACTGTTCTACTATGAATGCACAAATCTGGGTACTGCTTTTATATCTATCCACATCATATCTTGTCCAGAACTAATGGCCTACTAGATTTTCTTCCAAATATGAATATATATTGCCCCTTGTCATTCTTTGCTAGAATGATAACAATCAATTTGTGCAGGTAGAAGCTTTGGCCGTAAAGTTGACTCAAAAAGAAGGAGAGTTAATACACGAGAAGTTTGAAGTGAAAAAGCTAGTGAACTTTCTGAAGCAGGTCAAATATTACACCTCCTCAAGTGCTCCCTCCACCATTGGCTTAGTAATTGGGTTTGCATAATTTCATGACACTGTTAGTAATTTTATTAGGTAAAATCAAATTGGTTACTTATTTGGCCAAAACTATGGTTATGCTTAATCCAATTTGCAGAATCTCATTTGTCAAAATTATTCATACTTGCATCATAACGATTGGAGAGGACAATTGTGCATTAAAGGAAAATAGAGGTATTAACAAGGCCTAAAGTTTCACCTTTACGCTTTCAAGACTCGGGCAGTAGGTATCAAATTTTTGGGCCGGGAAATGACAGTTACTACAGATAATTCTAGTTATGAGGTTTTGTTGAAACTCATGAAAACATATTTCCATGAATACTCTATGTCTCTATCTTAATACATAGCTCCACTTGGGGATTCCAACTATTTAAGAAGAGGTCTTATTATTGGATTCACATGAAGTAAAAAGTTCCAAGTCATTATTAAGGTTCAAAAATTAAGAAAATCCCATGAAGGAAATATTTGCCAAATCACTTCAATAAGGTTAAGTTAGGAAATTTTCAAGTCATTTACATTGACTTTTTAGACTAGACAATTTTGAATAAACATCCCAAAATGAAAAGGTGGAATATGGGACAGGGAGAAATGTCGGAAGTTAGGATTGTAATCTTTGATCCTGCTCTTTTCATTTGAATTCTGTAGATAAATTTATTGATGGAAGAATTTTGAATTTCAATTTATAAGTAAAAAAGGGAGAGCTTTAAATTCCACAAGTTGATTATGTTGGAAAATAATCATCAATAAAGAATTATGTACTGTTAAATTTTGGATGAAGAGATTGAAGTGAGAAAATGGAAGACAAAGGAACAAAATCATATAATGTGGTTTGGTCTTAAGACTTACACCCACGGCACAAAAACTCAAAGGGCTATCTTTTGATCATACCCACTTAATCTTATAGATGAGTCACACTTATAATTAATGGTGAAGAAAACATGACAAACAGAAAGAATCATCAATTAATTATGATTGATTAAGAAAGTCGTGAAATCAACTTGTGATTCATATGTCCATAATTAAGAATCAATCATATGCACCAATCATGAGATTTGATTGTTGAGCCATCAATTATGGGGTCCTCAACATTTCTCCTCAAGTTGACACATTGAAAAGTTGACTTGAAGTGGCTGACTTGAATTGGAATAGTAGAGTGTAGATGGCAGCACTGCGACATTGTTGAAGTTGTAACAATGTTGCATTGTTGAACTTAAGGTTTACATGTCGATAAACAAGAATCAATCACGGATCTCCAGTAGCTGTTGACTTTGGTGTGCCACAAATGATTCCTATGCATTGCTATAGATTTCACCAATGCTGATGGATGTATAACCATTCTTTCCTCCCTATGGTTCTTCTCACTTGGTGCTTGAAAATACATTTGAATGTTTTAGCTGGCCCAATTTCCTTATTTTCTTGTTTGATATCCTTGTTTGTACTTGAAAAATCTGTTTCTTCTTTACAGGCTTCAGAAGATGCTAAAAAACTGGTCAACCAAGAAAAATCTTTTGCTTGTGCTGAAATTGAGAGTGCCAGAGCAGTAGTGCAAAGAATTGGAGAGGCCCTTGAGGAACAAGAAAGAAATTCCCGATCTTCTGGAAAGCAGGTACCTATTTTTATTCTAAAAGTTGAGTTAAAGATTGAAAATAGCACCCAGGAAGTTTCATATAGTCATACATATTTATGCATATATATATGTAGACATTTAGATATTTTGGATCATGTAGTGTGATGTGGGATGATAGATGCAAGGGTTAGCTTTCAACTGATTAGTGGCATAAGGAAGTTTAATATATTGTGCATCTATCTGAATTGCTGAATTTTTAATGGATTTGTGGAGAATTATTAACTATATGAAAATGACATAAAAGAAAAAATAAGATTGCAGCATGCCATCTGTACTTTTGAGTTTTGGGAGCACTATATTTCAAATGGTATATAAACACCCAAGAGCAGATTTGATTTATTTTGGTCAGCTGCAGGGATTATGCTTTGTGTACTTTGTCTTGTTTATAACTTGGATTAAACAATGCCCAACCATGTCCTTCCTTAGTGCCTTGGCCCCTATTTTGCATCATTGGCTTTTATTATTATATTTTAGGTACAAATTCAACATGTGTAGTCTTGGTAATTATATGTTCTCTCATAGTATGAGATACTTATTAGTCAAATTTTTAATCTTGGTTAATTACATGTCAACACATGTTTATTGTTTAGTAGCAGACACGACCTAAAGAAGTGTGGGACACGTGTCCAAAATTAAAATTTTATCATTTAATTATGGACATGGATAAAAGAGTATTGTATCCGAGAGGGTCTGAGGTGTGTTGGTGTCCAACATGGACACATCGTCTTCATGAGAGTGTATGTGCTTCATAGTTCTTATGTAGTGGACATGAATAATTACAACTTAAAAGGCAACCTACAACTTAAAACTAGTATTTACTATGAATTATGCCAATACAACTATTCAATTTTACTTGAGCGAAGATTTAATGTTTCGTACGACGAACCTTATACTTTTATATAACACACTGAGATTTACTTTTCGTGCTGTTAGGAAATGGAGGGACTGATGGAAGAGGTTCAAGAGGCTAGAAAAATTAGACTGTTGCATCAGCCCAGCAAGGTTTGTTATGATCGTATTCTTAGTTTTTTTTCCATTTAGGTTTATGTCAGCTCTCTTTTTGATATACCATTTTGCACTTGATAAATCATGCATTCAAGCTATTTGTGGTGCTTGTATGTTACTTACAAATCCTTTTATTTGTGTTATGATATTGTACTTTGTGTATTATCTCACTACTAATTTAATTTTCTTGTTCATGTATGTATCCAAATTCTACAATGTATCTTAACTTCCAGGCTTATGTTTTTTATATTTCGACGTAGAATCTTCAGATCATCTGCATTTTTTGATTCATTTTTTAAATCTAACAGCTCAGTGTCATAAGCTTCAATTTGAGTTGAAAAGTAGTCTAATTGTTTGAGTGAAACAAAAACGCCCTTTTGATTTGACTCATTCTAATATTTTACCAAAGTCTGTTGGTAGAAACTGAAAGTTTTGGTGACTTTGGATTTTTTCTTTTTGATAAGAAATGTAACTTTCAGAAAATAGTGAAAGTATTACAATATAATGAACAAGAAATCCACGTAAAAGAAAAGAATAAAAGGGGTTAAACAAAACAAAATTGTGCCATAACCTAAGAAGCATGGACATGGACATGGACATGAAATATGAAACGACACGGATACGCAGACACGACATTTCTCACAAAAGTAGGACACATTCACATTGGAAATACACTATAGATAATAATATTTTCTATAAAAAAACATATAATCTATTGCAAATATAGTGATAATGATAACAAAAAGGGTTAAACAAAACAAACTTGTGCCATAATGCCCATAAGAAAGTAAATCATCTAACTACAAGCTACAATCCAATTAATAATAAGGGGAACAAGTGGCACATCCTCAAACTCTTTAGTTGCAGCCGCCCATAGAGAAGCCATGAACTATAGCATAGAAATACCACATGTTCATCTTCATCATCAACGATGCCCGATCCCTTTCCATTCATACCACCCAAATAAGGGTCAAAATCACACATGCCCACAAATAGAGTCTCTACATCCCTTTCCAAAAACATCATGATTAATCTCAAACAAGGATACACAATCTATTGGAATGACCCAACTTACACTAAATATCTTGGAATTATCTTTATATGTCTTGCCCAGTGCTCTAGGCATATGTTTACTTTTGCATTTACATTTTTTTTGTCAGTTTAACTATAAACGATAATTACTACTTTAAGTTTGTTGCAGATGCAAACTGAGTATGTGTTATAAACAGGAAGTAGGGAATGTAGGTGGCCGTACTAATTACACCAAATGACAGATCTAGATCAGACATTCTCACAACTGGAAGTTGGTACGTGGAATACACCATCCAATGTCTGTTGGGATGACTAGTCCATTGTCAAGAGATTGAGATTGGTATTAGATGTTTATATCTTCTTGTAAAATAGTGCCCCTAATTATATGACTGAACAAGTGTACTTGGGAGCTTTGGAGAATATTTAGGAGAATGAGATGCAGTGGACTTAAAGAGCATCAAAGTGCTATGTTTATGCTAATGAATACACGATGCCAGGAATAGAATGATGTGTGAAGTCTTGTTGCAGAAGTTGAGGTCAGGAAAAAACAACTGGTGATATATTTAAATAGATCACGGTAATTTTAGATTAACCAATTATCTTAGTCCTAGGGGTTGACTTCATTCAGCAGGGGATGCATAAGATTAACCAACTATCTTAGCTTCAGCGAAATTACTTTACAGAAATTTTTGTTCTTTCATATTTTTTTCCAGTCATTGTTTTTATTTTGTGTTAGTAGTTGAGGTAACCATTTTCTTGCAACTTTTGATGTCGAGTTATAAGTTTGATGAAACAATCACCTGATTTATTATGAGAACATGTGGAATGGATTGTTTTGTAGGTGATGGACATGGAACATGAGCTTCGTGCACTAAAAATTCAAATTCGAGAGAAGTCTACAATATCGGTTAAGCTTCAGAAAGAGGTTTAATACTTTTTTTTAACTTCTTGAATTTGAAAATAATTGTAGGGATTGTGATTCTAAGTTTCTCATAAGTCAACACTTGCCTGGGAAAACTTGCTTTTAGACATTGTATCTGAAAACCTTACACTGTTTAACATGTAGTTCAAAACTGTACATGTTGTTAATTCTTGGTTTTGACTTTTTAAGACTGAATAAAATCATTTTCTTTTTCATATTTGGTAACCCAAAGTTGTGGTAGCCTGTGTTATATGATGTTATGCTGGTCCTTCAATATTTAAGCTCATCAATATCACTGTCACAGTTGCAGCCTCATCCAATTGTACCAGCTGATTCTAATTTCTGATTCCATTTAGAAAAAAATTATGTGCTTTAAAGAATCCCTTCTTTTCAGTAATAAAATAACAATTCTTTGGTTTGTCATAATTCATGATCATATAAATAACTATATAAGTGTTGTTCTTAATTGCTTGGATTAGTCTGTAGAGAAAATATTGGTGTGTCATCATCTGCGTAACGCATGCCTAAACATCTCCAAGTTTCTTTTTTTTTTTTTTTTGAAAGTTCCGCTGGTACAGACTGCATCATGATTTTCTAACTTAAATCCCCAAATCTCTCAATTATCAGAATCTATTAATCTTGTGTGCATAATAATTAGTATGTGATTCGCAAACGTATTCTCAAATTCCATTAGTTTAGCTCTTCAAGAATACTTGAACGCGTTATGTAGCTCTTGCTTCATGGCCGCCTATCATTTACATACAGATTTTCTGATGTTTTGGCATGAAGAAAACATTTCATTAGTTAGATGCACTATGTAATTTTTGAGAAACTGAAAAATACAAAAAATAGAAAAAAATAATTCAAAAAGATTATATTTTTTGTTGTTGTTTAACATGAGTGTCACACTTGAATTTGGATTTTCTCGGATTTATTCTCAAATCAAAGTCTTTGGTGTGTTAGTATTGGTCATATCAAGAGATCGAGAACTTAGTACTTGTAATTCCATTAGCATGATTGGAACTAAGTCTCTTTCACTTGCTTATGGTTGAATGATTCAAAATATTGATAGATTCATACAAAACTGTGCACGTCTAACTATTACCTTCACCTTCTTGACATGATCGGAGAAGATAAATATGTTGTGATAAGCACAAGTGGACAAGATAAATTACACAGACATAAGTAGGACTTAGGAGTAACACAAGATCTGTAAACAATACAATTGTAGTCAATAAGTGAAATTGTTGTCTAATTTCTTTAAAATTTCTGGTGTTGTCGATATATTTGGTTGTTTTCCAAGTGTTCTCTGTTCAGATTATCTCATCAAATGAACGTTTGATCCGGTTTGTTTGTAAAGTGTTGATCGAGACTATGTCGTTTTCTTCAACTTCAGGAAATTTATGATCACGATTTCATTAGAGTATAAAATAAAAACATGGATTTTGCTAATTGCTTACTAATTCAGACTATAATCTTAATCGGAATCTTTTGTTAAGAGAAAGTCACATAATTTCCACACGCTGCCCAGTAGGTTTAAAGAGAACTGTAATTGCAAATGTTTTGATAATTAATTGATAATTAATCTCATTTCTGATAAAAGCATCTCGGTACTTGGTTCTTAGTTTACGTATCCCTAACTTCTTCAGCTTTTTTCATTATTACTCCTCTGATGATTCCTTTACAGTCTTCCATATGTGATATATGCCGTTCATTTGTCTATTGGTTGTTGCACTTTTCCTTCTCTCTCTGTCTGACTCTCTCACTCTGTGTGTGTGTGTCTGTGTTTGCATGTAGAATCTTGTTGCATTGTCACAACTTGGAAGGAATTGTAGGGTATTTTCTTGTCAGATTATTTGGTTTCTTGTTGGCCTTACGTCCTCATATTTTGCAGCTGGCCCTGAGTCGCAGAGCTGAGGAGAACAGGCACCAATTATATGAGTTAAGTGGTTCAGAAACTTTAGGTTCAATTTTGCGAGTCCACCCATGCTCAGATGAAGCGATGGAGCTTTCCAGATGTTCAATCCAGTGGTACCGTTTACTGTGCGATAGTAGCCGAAGGGAACCAATTGCAGGTCTGCATTCCATCTTCTTTTGCGTCTGTTTGACTTTTTACAACTTAAATAAAAGAATATATCGATGCTGCATCATACTTAGCCACAGTGCATTACTTAACTCATATAATTTCTCCTCACTACACCTTCTTAATTTCTCCTCACTACTCTTTAGCAATAACATAAATTCACTGATTTTATGTGTGAACATATAACCATGAGATGAAACTCTGTACTTACTGGGCTTCCCTGCCTATCACAAGGACAAGCCATGACAAATAACATATGTGTCTTACTGTTTCCTACTCTGTTTAATCTCGTCATATGGCATCTTGCTTTGCAATAAATACATCGTTTAGTGCATTCGTAGGAATGCTTCAATATTTTTGAGATGGTCTTACATGCTTTGATTATTGTCTAGCCCAATGTTACCTTGATCGTGGATCGATTTGGTAGGAGGTACGGGTACATGTATTCGATACAATACTTCTTCTGATACGCGATATGATGTGATGGGGGTAGACTTAGTTGGTCTATCTTTTTTGGTCATGGTTCACCACTTCACCCAATTACTCTTATTCGGATCGCTTTCTTTATTATATAAAATTATATATAAATATACATTCATCTATACATAGTCAACCAATACTTATTATGCATTTCTGATTAGTGTTTCAAAATGAATCATAATCCAAGACAATGTATTGTCTAATGAATGCAAATAATAAAACTAGTGGTTGCACATCTGTACTATAAACACATTCAAGTCACCGCACTTCAAAATATAAGTTTAAAGATTGGAATACATAAGGAATCAGTTAAGGTTACAATTGAGGTTAAAGTTATAATTGGGAATTACCTGGATTATGGGTTAATTTGGGGTTAGGAACTTGAGCGATCTGGATTGCAAATCGATCTCGTTTTGGGTTGAGCAACCACGGTTTGTGGGACACGAGGGGCTTCTATGACCCGGAATCTATGGTCTGGCCACTAGAAGACTTGCAAAGTATATGCCTGTATTGCGGCAATGAAGAAGGTAAATAATAAGATTAGGCATTTACAGATTATTAAAAGCACAGTTCAATGTAGTTGTAATATTTTCCAGGTTAAGCATGCGATGATCCAGAGTAGTTTCTTAGTGCCACCCAAGGAAAATGACAAATGTACACTTCCGCTGTTGACTGAATACTGCAGATGCAGAAAACCAAGGCAAAGATAGCAAAACACTTCACCCTTTTCTTGTGTTGATATTTACTTCACCTACAAAGCCTTTTCTAAGTTCCTAGTTTTTGGTAAAGACTGCTTTTTCTTAGTATATATTGTGAATCTTTTAGATGTATTCAATTCTTGTGTTGGGCATTCTCAATTATTAGATGTGCTTAGTGTTAACTTTGATCAATCAAAGAAAAGTAGGGGGAAGAAAGAAGAGAATATTATCGAGGCACAATTAGTCAGAACAAAGCTCAAGGGAAAACTACTTATAAGAGGTCTGTATATCGTAAACTAAGCTAGGGCAACATAAAAGAAAACAAATGACTAAACTATTCCTAAGTCTAAATATAATAACTATTCTAACACCCTCCCTCAAACTCATGATGTGGTAACATTAAACATCAAGAGTTTGCTAAGAAGAAAACGGAAGCGTGCGATGGTGTGAAATTTCATAAAGAAACGATCAGCAAGTAGCGAATACAATCAAACTATCTCTGCTATTATGAAGGCCATAACATGATACTCAGCTTCAGCAGATGATCGAGCTACAACAGTTTGTTTCTTACTTTTCCACGAAATAAGACAATCATCAATGAAGAGACAGAAACCAGTAGTGGACTTGCGATCCATAGTGTCACCAGTCCAGTCCGCATCAGAGTAAGCACGAAGTTCCAGAGACGATCAAATAGCAATGAGAGATCCAACAAAAAATCAAAGCTCAACAAAAACCACCAGCAACAATGCTCAACAAAACAAATCCCAACAAAGAAAAAAAAACAAACAAACTAGAATTAGTCCCAAACCAGCAGTAGTCAAAATCAGAAACTAGAACCAAAAGAAGTAGCCAACGCCAAACAATTCAAAGTTCGCCACAAATCAACTTAACAACTTTGCAAATCAAATACTCACCCAGCAGTTCGTTCACAAAATCAGCCTCAAAGGCTCAAACCCACCAATCAAAAGTGAAAATAAAAGTTTCTTGCTTATTCAGTGCGAAACAATACAAATGGAAACAAAAGTTTTCTGCTTATTCACTGCGAAACAATACAAATGAAAACAAAAGTTTTTTGCTTATTCAGTGCAAAACAATTCAACGCTATGTCAAATAGCAAGGTCAAACGAATAAATCAAAAATCAGCAACGTGATAACTCAACAATGCACAAAACCAACCAATCAACAAACCAGTCCAAAAGCCCAAAGCAACAGCAACAAACGAAGAAGAAACAACCAGACTAGCAACCAGAAGAAGCAGAAAAAGAAACACGAGCAGAAGAGAAGAGACAGCAGCAAGTCAACAAAAATAGCAATCCAAACAGCAGATCCCAACGTACCAACTTCACAAATCAGAAACCAACGAAGAAGCAGACGCTCAATAGGCCTTAATACAAACATCTCGAGCCAATAAATCAAACCAGCAATCTAGTAACTAGACAACCCAAATTCTATAACTTTCAAAAGTCCAGAAGACAAACAGAGGCAGCAAATCAGTAGCAAAACAGCAAGACAGTAGCAAAACACCAAAAAGGCACTAAAAATCGAAATCCAGCACTGTTCACAGCATGAATAGTAACGTCGGTACCGTTCACAGAGCATGAACAATACTTTCGGCACTGTTCATCCAGTGAACAGTGTTTTCGGCACTGTTCACAGCCCTTGGAATCACAAAAAAATAGCAATCCACCAATCACTAGCCCTCAAATCACACAACACAAGAATATATATTTTCCTCTAACTAAATTACTGTGGTGCTATAATATATATTTTGGATAGAAACCATGCTCTGATACCATGTTAACTTTGATCAATCAAAGAAAAGTAAGAGGAAGAAAGAAGTGAATATTATTGAGGCATAATTAGCCAGAACAAAGTTTAAAGAAAAACTACATATAAGAGGTCTTTATATACTAAACTAAACTAGGGCAACATAAAAAAAAAATGACTAAACTACCCCTAAGTATAAATATAATAACTATTCTAACACTTAGAAGTGGGTACATTACAAGAAGAACTTCCATATTTATATTAGCAACAGAAACTTCTTGTTATGGGAAAGCAGATAGGCTATTAAGTATTGTGATTTCTAATTTCTAAGCTGCTTTTTGTGTTTGCATCCGTCACTACACTCTCTGAAGAAATGATTATTGGAAATTTTCAACTTCTACCATTCATCAAATTTAGCTGTGTGCCTCCTGCTTTACAAGTTGAACCTCATTAATCTTTCAGCAAATGTGCTGATACTAGTAAAGACCTATTGGTGGGTGCCATTCATGTGTTCTTTGTACATCAAATCCTACCATCAGATGCATGACATGCATTCAAAACAACTAATTATTTGTGTGAAAGAGATGGTAAGACTAAGAGCCTATGTGATATAATAGCAATGATAAATGATTTATTGCTAGGCACAAATTTGAGGCAGCATTTTTTTTGCCAATTTATTTATGAAGTTTAGGCATTAATTATGCTTGGACATGATAGTATCATCCTTTTTTCATCTAAATAATCTCATCATGGCATTAATTTGAAACTGAAAGAATTAAGTTAGTGGGTGGCCTTGCATATTGAGCCAATTAGATTGCTTTTTTTCAACCATACTCCCCTCCTTTACATTATCATAGAGTTGGATTTTGTCTTTATTAATTTGTGTTGTTTTGGTGCATGGTGTTGTTGAATTTTGGCAATGATGAGAGGTGTAACGGCGTGTAGCTTTTTGGGATGCTTTGAACTTCTCTTGTATTCACTATTCATTTTCTTGTCTGTGTGTATGTGTCCTGTGTGCATGGCTTGTGCTGCCTTGGTGCTTTTTAATGAATTATAGTCAACCAAAAAATAAAGTCAGATTTGCCAGGTATTTCAGCCATCTGGTTCAAATCCTTAATGCTTGCCTGTGAAATGTATGGCTCCCTCTGCTTGTTGGACTGTTACGAACATAGCCTCTCACTCAACTGGCCTTCCAGAACAAACAATGCTTTTGCCTTTTTGTTTTCTTTTGCAATAGTTGGCAGCTACTTTACGGCAATAAAGGCACTGTTGATAGTTTTCCTCAATTCAGACAGTTGTTATGTCTTGAAGAGATGCTAGGTTGAACAGATGCCTTGATGTTCATGAGGTTTCCTTGATAGGAGTTTACGTCGAGTATTTGAATCATATGTTAAGTTTCGGTCACCAAGAAAACGGAAATGTTTCGACGTGTTTCGGAAACGTTTCGAAAACATAATGAAAAAATAAAAATTTTATAATTATTTTTCTAAAACATTTGTCAAAATATACCAAAGAATCTTAAAATACCTTAAAACATTCCGAAACAATTGTGCAAATGCATTGACACATGACAAAACACCTCAAAACATTATGAAACGCCTCAAAATATTTAAAATTTCGATTCTATTACTGATTTGTTTCGGTCTTCTTGGAAACGTAAACGTTTCAAAACGAAATTTTGATCCTTCATGTTAACACAGTTTTTAATATCATTTTTGTTTCCAATCTAATGATTATTGCTTCTATCTATTTTGACAATTTTGTGTTTCGAAAGTCAAATTGTGTATCATGTTGTGAAACCTTATCTGGCCTTATGCAATTCTTATCTTAGTTGGATTTTCCATCCTTTCATATTTTGGGTAAGTTTCAACCACATCCCTTTCTGTAGGCCTTATTTTAGGGACACACCTGACATTTTCGAAAATGACATAACGTCTTTGTCTCCTCACAAAGATAACTGTAAGGTCCTGTATATTATATTCTTGCCTAATTAGTATCTTTGACACATTTATCCTTTACTTATTGGTATTTATATATATTACGTATACACTTAACCAGCACCCAACACAGTTCATCTTCTTGTGAACTATCCTACATCACCAAGCCCTCCACCACCCAGCACCTTTCCAGCCACTACCATCATCCAATTCAACCTGTCTTCAACCTTCTCCAACATGTCGCCTCTCAACATGTAGTCCACCAACACCACCACAACAACGCCAATCACTGATCTAAACCACTACCAGCTCTTGCCACTGCAAATGCGATACCATATACCACAACCACAAAGGACCCACCATCTCTTATGACGTCATAAACCAAACAACACTGACACATCACCATAATGCAATCGATGTTGACATCAGTCAAAGAACTCATCCGGTTTTGATTTAGAATGGAATTTGCCTGACAATTTTTTGTACTACTTTGTTCCATGACAGGGGCAACAATATATCGAAATGGGTTTTTGTGACTCTTTGAATTCAATATTGCATAAAAATAATTTTTTGTGCCTCAATTATTTTTGTTATTGCTTTATTGGTGATGAAGGGGAGGAGATGAGAGAGAATCAGAATTGGAGGCAAGGGGAGATGGAGGTTGGGCATGGAGTGGAGTCATTGGTCATTAGAGAAGATGAGGAAAGAAAAGAGTCTTGAGGTTTCAGTGGACACAAGGTGGTGGAGCCGTGGAGGTAAATTGTGAGGTGGATGCCGCCTGATGGGGATTGGAATTGGATGTTTTGGTGTTCAGAGAGTATCAACTCTGGGTATTAGGAGGCCACAGGCTTCTTGTCATTCTTCTTCAGCACCTATGGGTACAGTAGGAGAGAGAAGGGTGATCAAGACAAACAGTGGACCGTGTTTTCCAATGCATTCCCAAAGTCGCCTGTGCATATGTTTTTGTGTTTGCCGGAGCTTGCCAGCTTGTCATCCATGTTGAAAGATGGTCATGGATGATCTCAGATTTAAAAAAGGTGGTGTGATTTGTCTTGGATCTGAAAGAGGGGGAGACAGGGTGGCAGAAAGAAGGGGAATGGTTGTGAGTGAGAAGAAAGGGAAGTGGAGAAGAAAAGGGCTGACTGAGGGTAGTATGGAAATCTCACAAAAAAAATACCAATAACATCAGCATTTTAAGCCCCGCTAGCAATGCCCCTAATGGCAGGGGTATTATTTACTATATATTTTTTGCTTGTGTAATGGCAAGGGTATTTAGTCCTATGGGCATAAAACTAGAAGGGTCTCAATGTCATTTTAGAATAGACTAGGGTGTTCATAAAATAAGGCCTATGTGCACTGCGTGTTGCTAAAATTTACCTAGAAAATTAATAAATGTCAAGAACGGAGAACCTGTTGTTTTATTATGTCACTTCTAGTTTCTCAACTCAACTCTTACCGTTATCCAATTCTTCAGGTGCCAACAAATCAGTTTATGCTCCTGAACCTTTTGACGTTGGAAGAGTTTTACAAGTTGATATTGTTTCAAATGGCCAAAAGGCCACCGTAACAACAGTTGGTCCTATAGATCCAGGTTGGTATCCTTGATTTTTGATGTGATTTTTCTGTACATACATATTTACTTGGTAAGTCTTTTGACCTTTTTACTTTCTTCCTCTTCTCTTTGAGCTGAAATTTACATCATTAGCTACAATAAAAAGCTTTTATGTTCATATCTTTTCTCACTGTGATACTAAAGGAAAAAGAAAAAAAAAGGTCTGATTAAATGTTTCCTGCAGCTGCTGCGTTGGGGAGCTATGTGGAGACACTTTTGAGGAAATCCAACAGTGATTTCAGTGTATGTCGCTGTTTTTCTCCATTAGCATAAGCGTCTTCACAATTAGAAAATGGGTCGATTCTACTGGTGCAAAATAATAATTTCATGACCCATTGAAATTTACACTTCCAACATGTGTTTGATTGAGGATTATGTTTTCATAGACTTAGCTGCTCTAGGTTTACTTCTTTCTGTTTATTCAAGTATATGGTTTAATCTCACCAAGTCAGCAATTGGAGCTGCTTATTATGATTTTTCAATAAATTTAGCTCTTCAAAAGGAAAAACTAGGAATTGGAAGACTGGATTAGAATAATGTGGAAACAAAAATGAAGAGGTTTGAAACATTTATGATTTCTCAAACATCTTGGTTGGATCCTTTGAACGGTGCGATTCCTTACTTGTTTAGTACCGATGTAACATGACTATAAATGTACAGGATTATTCATAGACACCATTATTGTACAGTGGAATAAATCCTACTGTATATACTTTTATCCATTTCACAATGTTCAAATGATTACTTCCTGGGTTCGTGCATTTTTACCTGGAGTAAAATATTACCAATAAATTACCTAAATGTTTTGTGTCAATTAAGCCCTTCAACTTTATAATTTGAGTCTGTTAAACAAAATATAACCACACCCACATAAAGAGCACGTAAGTTCACATCATAAATGAAGATGTAGAGTAGAGAAAGAGAGGTTTCAGAGGGAAAGGTCTTTTTTTTTTGGGTGGAGAGAGAGAGAGAGAGAGAGAGGTTGTTACCTCCACAGCAGACACCACACTAACAGTAAGAGATGATCATGAGTAGAGGTTGCTCTTTAAATTGGTGGTTGTATCAACACAAATATTAGTATCATCCAACAGTTTCTGTTGGCTACGACTTTGGGAATGCTGATTCTTTTTGCTTTTCATTCTATGGACGTTCCCTTCCAGTTTCTTCAGTGTGCAAGCTTGAATGAGTCCCTTAATCTGAGTATTTTTTGTCACCGGTGCTGAGTGTGTTGTAGCCGTCCATGGGAGGGGAGGAAGTGTGGAGATGGGTTTAGCTTTAGGGATAGACTTGTTCAGATAAATAACACATCTTTTCATCTTCCAAGATTGAACTCATGCTAAAGTTCTGCTGGACCNCAGGTGCCAACAAATCAGTTTATGCTCCTGAACCTTTTGACGTTGGAAGAGTTTTACAAGTTGATATTGTTTCAAATGGCCAAAAGGCCACCGTAACAACAGTTGGTCCTATAGATCCAGGTTGGTATCCTTGATTTTTGATGTGATTTTTCTGTACATACATATTTACTTGGTAAGTCTTTTGACCTTTTTACTTTCTTCCTCTTCTCTTTGAGCTGAAATTTACATCATTAGCTACAATAAAAAGCTTTTATGTTCATATCTTTTCTCACTGTGATACTAAAGGAAAAAGAAAAAAAAAGGTCTGATTAAATGTTTCCTGCAGCTGCTGCGTTGGGGAGCTATGTGGAGACACTTTTGAGGAAATCCAACAGTGATTTCAGTGTATGTCGCTGTTTTTCTCCATTAGCATAAGCGTCTTCACAATTAGAAAATGGGTCGATTCTACTGGTGCAAAATAATAATTTCATGACCCATTGAAATTTACACTTCCAACATGTGTTTGATTGAGGATTATGTTTTCATAGACTTAGCTGCTCTAGGTTTACTTCTTTCTGTTTATTCAAGTATATGGTTTAATCTCACCAAGTCAGCAATTGGAGCTGCTTATTATGATTTTTCAATAAATTTAGCTCTTCAAAAGGAAAAACTAGGAATTGGAAGACTGGATTAGAATAATGTGGAAACAAAAATGAAGAGGTTTGAAACATTTATGATTTCTCAAACATCTTGGTTGGATCCTTTGAACGGTGCGATTCCTTACTTGTTTAGTACCGATGTAACATGACTATAAATGTACAGGATTATTCATAGACACCATTATTGTACAGTGGAATAAATCCTACTGTATATACTTTTATCCATTTCACAATGTTCAAATGATTACTTCCTGGGTTCGTGCATTTTTACCTGGAGTAAAATATTACCAATAAATTACCTAAATGTTTTGTGTCAATTAAGCCCTTCAACTTTATAATTTGAGTCTGTTAAACAAAATATAACCACACCCACATAAAGAGCACGTAAGTTCACATCATAAATGAAGATGTAGAGTAGAGAAAGAGAGGTTTCAGAGGGAAAGGTCTTTTTTTTTTGGGTGGAGAGAGAGAGAGAGAGAGAGAGGTTGTTACCTCCACAGCAGACACCACACTAACAGTAAGAGATGATCATGAGTAGAGGTTGCTCTTTAAATTGGTGGTTGTATCAACACAAATATTAGTATCATCCAACAGTTTCTGTTGGCTACGACTTTGGGAATGCTGATTCTTTTTGCTTTTCATTCTATGGACGTTCCCTTCCAGTTTCTTCAGTGTGCAAGCTTGAATGAGTCCCTTAATCTGAGTATTTTTTGTCACCGGTGCTGAGTGTGTTGTAGCCGTCCATGGGAGGGGAGGAAGTGTGGAGATGGGTTTAGCTTTAGGGATAGACTTGTTCAGATAAATAACACATCTTTTCATCTTCCAAGATTGAACTCATGCTAAAGTTCTGCTGGACCAATGATGTTTTAGACTGCTAGGCTGGTGCAGTCCATGCTTAGCTACTTGATTTAGGGGCCAGTGCCAGGGATCTGTTTACTGAACTCTTAAATGGAATGATGGATTTAAATTCCATCTAACCTGTTTTGCTTAGGTGGCTTGCGCCAATGAGCTAAACTAGATGGTAGATACTCAGCAGTGTGTTCTGTCATTTGATTAATGTTAAATAGTGTTTTTCACTTGACCCTACCTGATGAAACTTTCTTGGACCTAGCCATATGATGCCTAATTGAAATTAAATTTAGCAGGAGATTTCAGGTTTTTTTTACCCAAGTTTTAATCAATGAATAATGACAAGTAAGCATGACTTTATACTTGTTTTAAATAACCCACGAATATCAAGTTTTGAAAGTATGGTGAGTTGTCACAGTCTAATTGACCTAATGATAACATTGACAAAGAGGACGTAATAGCAGAACATTTGTGTCGATCCTAACACTTGCTTATCAAGGTTTTCAACTCTATCAAAAGGTTTAGGTGATTGTAATTCTTGTCTTATTCAGATTTTACCCGTACTAATATTTAAATTGCAGGTAGTTATCTCCCAGATGAATGGACAGAACTACTCGTCCAATTCTGTTCACATGTTTCATGTGGGGAAAATGAGGATGAAGCTTTGTAGAGGATGGATTACAAAGGCTAGAGAATCTTATTCCTTGTCTATGCAGGTAGTTCTTGTGGCTGGGCTTTAATCTTATGTTCTGAAACTGATTGAGAAGAGAAAAACAAAAGGTTATTATCCCCTTTGGTCTCGATAAGTGAGGGTTCTGAAAGAGGTGGACTAGGTACAACCGTACAACCCTCACATTTGATCACATGATTGTCAAGAAATGTGGAATATATATCAATACTTAACTGGATGTTCCATGGGGAGAATTATTTGGTTTGTTTAAACCTAGATTTGAAATTTTTTCGTTTCTTTTTCATACCAACTTAATTTTCCTCTCTTTCCTCGCACATGAAAGAAATCTTTTGCTACAACTTGTGGCAAGGCCCCACTTTTCCAAATGAAAATGAATGGGTTCCCTCTTTTTTCACGAAGTCTCCAAATATCCATTGATATGGTGTAGGATTGGGGCAATTAAGGTGATGCCCTGTGCTACATCATCATCATCATATCTCTTTCTCTCTCTCTCTCTCTCAAAACATAACAAGGATGAAATGGGCGAGAAGTATTTTCTGATTGTGCAGCAAAGAAATTGGTAAGAGTTCAGCCTATACCCACAATTGGTGGAAGTACTGCAATAACTGAATTTGATGTTCTTTTGTTTTCTACTTGCATTATATTATTCCTTAAAGCGTTTCTGTTCTTTCCAAGCCCAAGCAACGCTGGCTCTCCTATGGGTTTAATCTCGTCTAGCAGAACTTCATGTCCTAAATATGCTACAGAAGTTTACACAGAAACAAGGTACTTCCAACAAGCATTTCTTATTCCTTTCTTTTCTGGTCTCAGCTATGTGGATTCCGAGGGGGAGGAAATTCTGCAGCTAAGTCACTGTTTTGGCAAGTAAGGAAAGGTCAATCGTTTGTATTAGTGTTTGAATCAGAGAGAGAAAGGAATGGGGCCATTATGCTTGCCAGGAAATATGCTTCTGACTGCAATGTAAGTAGTTTTTGCTGTCTTTTGCTACTCTATCACTCCTCTTCATTTCATTACCTCCCCTCCTTTGACAGTGTTTGGTTCCTTTATATCCTTCAGGAAAATGCCAAAAAATGTTTAGAATAGTTTTATTACCAGTAGTAATTAATCCAAAAATATTAGGTAATTCATTCCTTTATACAAACTTCTGCATTCAAAATTCTATGTTAATGCTAGACGAAAACTTATAGATAACCATATATTTAAGAACAATTTGGTAGCTCCCAGAAACAAATGTTTGACGGCTAGTATGAAGGCCTTGTTTATTTTTAATACCACTTGGCTTTATTACTTTGCTTTTTATGTTTACTCGTCCTTTCAGATTGAATAATAGGTTAGAGAGACCATTAGACAAAATTCCGAACTTAAACCAGGATTTTGTTTTGGGAATAGGGATCACAAGAGTGAATTCTATCTGTCAATGACAGGTGATGCTTGCTGGGCCAGATGATCAAACATTGTTGTAAATCTAACAGGTTTCTAAGTTTTCTGCTAACGCAAGTTGAACGAGGTTTCCCAAGTGTGAGTATTTCATTTTTCTTGTGTGCTTGTGGTGATGAGGAAGATGCCTTTGTCAATGTAATTGGGCTTTCACTAATTTAGTTGCATCCTTTCTAGGCATGGTTTTTTGTTTGCCTAATCATTATTGCTTGTAACAAGTTTTACTGATCATTCAATGGTTTATCTCCAGTTGATTTGCAATTTTTACTTCTCTCTGTTTGAAATTCAGATTGAAATTTCTAGCATGGGTCATCAAATTTTATCCAGATCGACACTTCCAACGTCCAAAATTTACAGGAGACATCCAAATAAGTTGAGATGATTGCCTAAATATGATAACTGCGTGGAAAGAAACATAATGATTCGGTATAAGGATTAAAATTTTTATATGTTTTTGTTTTTATGGAAATGGAAATGAATATTGAAATTCCGGAATTCTTCAGAAACAAAATTTCAAATTTTTGCTCTATTTTCATTTTCTAGGAGATCCAAAAAGCTTGCTGAACCAAGAAATTGGTCATTGATTTGGGAGGGGAAATAGTTGACTAAATTTGTTCCAGGAGCATTGAAGGGGTTGAAACTGTTGTCTAGGGGGTGATGGGTTTGAATTAGCAAATTCCAGAGTAAGACTATATGTTCAAGAATCTAATGATAAGCACCTTCATAGATTTCTTAACTGTTGGAGAAAATGGACATTCAGGTTGTCTCTTTGAGGCAAAAAGAAACTGAGAACTCAGATTCATTTGCCCTCAAAGTGATTGATGAAATATATCTAAACCCCAAGAGCTAATGACTGACATCGTCATTCTCCTTGGGGTAAATAGCGTAATGACTCATATTTGTTTTATCTCAGTTTGATTTTCATTATTTTCCTAAATTTTTTAATTTATCGTACAATGGTCCAATAAAAAATAATAGTTTTAAATTGTTAATGGAAGTCGACATGCGTCAAAGCGACAACACCAAGTACATACTTCGGAAATTTTTAATGTGTTTTGTCTTTCTCCTTCATCAATGTGGTTGTGAAAATTTCAATGATCAAAATATCGTTTTGAAACGATCGAAACGTCTGAAACGTTTTCGTTTTCATAAAGACCGAAATGAAATATTGATAGAATCAAAATTTTGATATTTCGAGGTATTCTATAATATTTTTAAATGTATTATAATATTTAAATATTTTGCACAATTGTTTTAGAAAAATAATTCTTAAATTTTTTATTTTTTTTATTATGTTTCTGAAACGGGTCAAAACGTTTCCGTTTTTTAGGTGACCGAAATAATACACCGAAACGATATTTTGATCCTTGAAAATACCTAACTCAATAAAAATTATTGGTATCATCACACATCGATTATAATACTAACCATGATTTATTTCAAACGGGGAGCATTTTGCCATATAATGCCTCGTGATTGTAACCCTGAAATATTTTATTGCAGTAATAAAATAAAAACAGTCGTGTTCATTTGGTGCGCCTCACCTCATTTGATCATCAAAACAATAATTTGCAATCTTCACCTAAATTTAAGAGAGATTTAATCTGATATTATGATTGGTTCATGACGCAATGTTCCTCATTAATACCAATTAACCTTAGTTATTTTTTCACCCATTAATATAAACACGTTGTTTGTTGCGATCCCATGCATCTGCTGCTAATATAGGTCATGAAACTACGAAACAGATAAATAATTGTCATTATGCTAAATAAGTTGCAATTACTTCATTTTGGACTTTTTTAGATATGAAGTTGAACCAAATGTCAAGAGTGTAAACAAATTGTTGGAAAATTGACCAAAACTCATGTATTTTTTTGGGGTACTTCGGAAATTTTAAAAATAGGGTTAGTTATACTCTCTAACAAAAGAAACACTAGTAGCATCAGCATTCAAAATATCTCCCAATGAGCTTGGAGGGGTATGCAGGACCACCATTTGAGCATCTTGCAGGACCCCCAGGTTAGCAAGCTATTCAGCGACTGGTGCAGAAGTTTCCTTCCCTCAGTGTGTGGATAATGCGGATGTTTCTTGATCCCATCAACTTCTTACACTTCGCTATGAGTGTTCTCTCTGGATGTGACTCCTCCATCCTTATAGTAAGGAGTCAATGTGCATCCAATGAATCTGTTTCTATGATAATCCTGTCAAAGTTCTCTGAATGGATGAGTTGAAGACCTTTGAAGATGGCCCACAGCTCTGCTTGTGTGCTGGTAAGGTTAGCCAGTTTATCAAGGAAGGGTCTCAGTCTTGCCACTAGTAGTTTTGATAAGACTTTGTAGCTCACATTGTACAAACTTATGCGTTTGAACTAATAACATCTTCAATCACACTCACTAAAATAATTAATCAAAATATATTTAAATATTAAATTCACTATTTTAACTATCTATTTTTTAAAATTCACTCTAATCACGCTCTCTATTTTAACTAACTACTTCAATTAACTTTAACTAACTTCTTCAATTAACTTTAACTAACTTTCAATAATATAATTCAAAAATGTCACATGGCGTAACACGTAAGCACTATAATGATGACGTGTCGTGCCACATCATCAAATTTTAAATTTTACAATGGTCATATTTATAACGGTCATATTTTCAACAGTTATATATACAACGGTCATATTTACAACGATCATATTTTTGAAAATGTATAAATATAACCTCCCCCTTCTCATTGTCATATATCTCAAATTTATTTTACTATTATTGAACTCATATTTCTTTGCTATGGCTTATGATGGTAAATTGAAGATAATTCTTAGTGATTCTGACTCCGATGATGAGTTGGAGATGTTAGCGGTTGCTGCTATGGCAATGGAGAAACTCATAACTGAGAACAATTCTGCAATACGTCGTGGTTCTATTCAAAGGTTATTTTGTTATTTGTCACAATCGAGTTGAAGGGCATGAGAGACTTTATTGTGATTATTTTGCTGAATCGCCTACCTATCCCCAAATTTATTTTGAATGAGGTTTCGAATGAATTGATCTCTTTTCGTCTGTATTCTATCCATGGTGAAAGTTTATAATCCATACTTTGTCCAAAAAAAGGATGCTGTTGGGAATATTAGCTTGTTTCCCCTTCAAAATATGACTGTCACTGTAAGAATGTTTGCCTATGGAGTTGCAACAAATGTTGATGATGATTATGTAAGGATCGGCGAAAGCACCGCAATAGAAAGTCTGCAAAAATTTGTATCGGTCATGGTAGCAATTTATGCTGATGAGTACCTAAGGTTACCAAACAGTACAGACATTGCTAAATTATTAACAATCTGTGAGAGACGTGAGTTTCCGGGGATACTAGATAGCATTGACTATATGCATTGGAGATGAAAGAATTTTCCAACAGCATGGAAAGGTATGTACTCTGGTCATATTTATGAACCAACAATTATTTTAGAGGCAGTGGCTTCAAATGATCTATGGATTTGGCATGCCTTTTTTAGGTCTAAATCCCACAATGATGTAAATGTATTAGAACACTCTTCTATTTTTACTCTTCTTTCGAAAGATAGGACTCCTTCGGTCAATTACTTCGTCAATGGAAACGATTATACTATGAGATATTATCTTGCTGATGGTATATATCCAAAGTGGGTCACGTTTGTCAAAATAATTTCATGTCCAAGAGGCAATAAACAAATACATTTTGCACAAGCTCAAGAGTTAGCCAGAAAGGATGTTGAGAGAGCTTTTGGAGTACTCCAAAAACGATTTTCTATAATTCGTGGACCTGCACGTTTTTGAAAACTTGAAGTGCTTAAGGATATTATAAAGGCATGCATAATATTGCATAACATGATTGTCGAGAATGAGAGGGACAAAAATGAAATGGACTTTAGTTATGATGTATCAGATGAAATTCTTACTCCTACATTAATATCCGAACAGAGTTCAAAACTGCTTCAATTTATTCATACTCAACATCGCATTCGAGACAGGGACACTCCTTCGATACTCCAAACTGATCTAGTCGAGCATCTGTGAAATATGCATGAAATGTTTTAGGCAGTAATATGCTACGAAAAACTTAATTTAGAATTTGAACTATTATGGTCTTTAATTCCAATTTAGGCTTGCTTTTTGGTGCTGCAATTTACTTTTCTTTATTAAAATTCTTTGTTGTAATTTAATTCCAAGTTTGCATCCTACCCATCCCTTTTAGATCAATAATAGGGACAAAAACTTGGTAATGATTTTATAATATGAAGTTGTGTAATACAAAATTTGCAGTCACAAAACTAAGAAATCAAAGTTCATTGCACAAATCAAGCTGAAAGAGGGAATATGTATCTAAATACAAAGTTGATACACTCTCAATGCTTAGTTTCTAACAATAATGACAAAGCCCCTGCTTTACAATCATATAAGACTCAAAATCAGATTGCAATTTCCATGATCATAATAGATTGCAATTTCCATTATCCAAAACCATTGTTGGAACATTGTAGTTCATCTTCAGAGATCTTTGACATTTTCTCTGAGTCTATAAGAAAGCCTTCCAGGGTTGCAAGAGATTTCAGCTTCAGCAATGAACTGGAGCAGATAAACCTATTGTGCTATTTAAATATGAAGTGCATTTTATACCGTAAATTCACAATCAACAAAAACAATAACTACTTCTAGTTTACCAATATTGTTCGTTCATTGCTATGCTATCGATTTAGCAAAAACAATAATCATAATCTAAATGTATCAGCATAAATTGTGAACCATCCAATATGAATTAATTAATATGTTCATGCTTAGACACTAATAAAGAGCAAGATGTTATCACACGCAAGTTCCATATGCAGCAAGCAAATATATGGTAGCAAGACCAAACGAAATAACTCAAACTATGGAAACTTACTGCCTGAACTGAATGGACCAAAAATTCACTATCGGAATTGAACTCACTACCTGAACTGAACATGGACAAAAAGCACCTTATTAGATTGAACAATGGCCCCAAA